AGATCCGACCATGTTCTATATGTTCTTTACTTTAATCCATTTAAGTCTTCGCCTAGATTTACATGGTTCTGCACTCATATTAAAAAAAAAAAAATTTAATAAAACATACGCAGATACTTTTTTTCAATTTACGTAACTAACTATATAGAAGTGTAAAATAATGTTGAAAGTTTTCAGAATGTTTAAAAAAAATAACATTACTTACACCGAAAAAAACAATCTATTTAATACTTTAAACACAGAAAAAACCTAGTCTCATTTTTGTTGCAAATCAAAATGAGCCAATGCTAAACGACATAGACAGTGGCGCCACCAACCTGGTTCATTTTTGTTGCACATCAAAATGAGCCGCCTACACGGCGCATTCTGAGTTCAGTTTTTTTCTGTGAAGGAATCTTTTTATCTTAAGTGGATTTTCCTATTAATAATTATTAGAAAGGATTTCCTCTTAGGACAACAGGATAGTCCTTTAAAGTTTATCCTTTATTAAATGAATTTAGTTTACTATTAAAAGAAATTGTTTAATAGGTTCAATAAATAATATATTTTCTTAATTAATAATAATAGATTATTATTTTTTAAATTATTTGTGACGCGATCTAAAGAAAGGGATATTAGAAGCAAAAAAATTATAGGTATTCTAAGGTCCCTTTATTCAGATCGCCTCACATTTATTAGTAACTATTAATGATTAATTAACGGAGTGGCTATATCGCCCGTCGCGGGCGAACTAATTAATTTCTGTTATTTCGCCCGTCGCGGGCGAAATAGATACGACTGTGTGAACTGGCTATTTCGCCCGTCGAAATGAATGTGTTTTAGAAAACGGGCAAAATAAGAAAAATAGATTATTTCGCCCGTTCAAGAGAAAATCGAGTATCTGGAAGACGGGCGAGTATATTATTTCGTCCGTTAAGTATAGACAGCTGTTTTTTAGATAATGAGAAAAAATAATTTTACTTTTTTTAAATATAACAAATAAGATGCATAGAAAAAAGACGTCTGAGTATAGGTCTAATATTATTTATTTATATCTTTTGGAGTATTTGGTTTAATAAAATAGAAGAAATTTAAATAAAAAAAAAGTTCTTAAAAATTCTTAAAATTAATACTTAATTATTTTGTGTTTTTTTCAAAAAATTTTATTAATTAAAGTTTTGAGAATATTTGTAACATAAAATTTGTTTGTAATTATTAACTTAAAGATTTTTCAAATATTTATTTTACACGTTTTTGAGACGTGACTTTAAAGATCTTTAAAGTCACGTCTCAAAATTTAAAGATCTTTAAAGTCACGTCTCAAAAACGTGTAAAATAAATATTTGAAAAATCTTTAAGTTAATAATTACAAACAAATTTTATGTTACAAATATTCTCAAAACTTTAATTAATAAAATTTTTTGAAAAAAACACAAAATAATTAAGTATTAATTTTAAGAATTTTTAAGAACTTTTTTTTTATTTAAATTTCTTCTATTTTATTAAACCAAATACTCCAAAAGATATAAATAAATAATATTAGACCTATACTCAGACGTCTTTTTTCTATGCATCTTATTTGTTATATTTAAAAAAAGTAAAATTATTTTTTCTCATTATCTAAAAAACAGCTGTCTATACTTAACGGACGAAATAATATACTCGCCCGTCTTCCAGATACTCGATTTTATCTTGAACGGGCGAAATAATCTATTTTTCTTATTTTGCCCGTTTTCTAAAACACATTCATTTCGACGGGCGAAATAGCCAGTTCACACAGTCGTATCTATTTCGCCCGCGACGGGCGAAATAACAGAAATTAATTAGTTCGCCCGCGACGGGCGAAATAGAAACAGCCATTAATTAATTACTAGTATTATTTGTAAATTTCACATAAAAAATTAAATATTCTGAAATTAAGAATAATAAATAAATAAATAATAAAAAATAAAATAAAAATATAATCTAAATATTAAAAATATTTTTTCGCCATTGACATGAAAAAGTGTCTTTTTTGTGCCTGTTTTGGGCAGATAAAGTAGCCAACTGCCTAAAAAGACTTTTTTTCGCCATTGACATGAAAAAGTGTCTTTTTTGTGCCTGTTTTGGGCAGATAAAGTAGCACTTTTTAAGGCAGTTTGGGCCAACTGCCTAAAAAAGACTTTTTTAGGCAGCAAACTGCCGTATAAAGTCTTTTTTAGGCAGTAAACTGCCCTATAAAGTCTTTTTTAGGCAGTTGTTAATTTTTGCATAATTTTTTTTTTTGCTTTTATTTTATTTATCAATTTTTATTATTTTTTTTCTTTAAAATTGTTTCACTTTTTCATAACAATGGCGAAAAAAATAGCGTATGTGGCTCGCACGTAGTAATTTTTAGGTTCGGATGATTTCAATACTCGCTGTCTGTGCGACTTCGGTTCGACTCGGCTCGCTTTCGGCTCGACTCGACTCGCCTTCGGCTCGTCTTCATCTCACCTACAGCTCGCCTTCGTCTCACCTACGTCGCACTAACGACAGCTCGTACTGAAAATTACATCCTCACCTAAAAAGTACTACTTTACGTGCTTGCCACATAATATACTATTTTAGGTAGAAAACTGCCCTATAAAGTCTTTTTTAGGCAGTTGTTAATTTTTGCATAATTTTTGTTTTGATTTTATTTTATTTATCAATTTTTATTATTTTATTTTATATACTATTTCATATATATTATATTATATATTATATATATATATGTTACGGTTAAAGTGCGAAGTCCGGTGAATGTGCACATTAACCGGTCAATGTGTACATTCACCGGGCATTTTGGTAAAAGTGAGAAATCGGCCATTTGGGGAAGATATTATGTACATTTACCAAGTAAATTGGTGATTGTACACATTGACCAGCCTTGGTTGGTAAATGTGAAAATTTGAAATGAGTGATTTGTTAAATAATTTTTTTATGCATATAAAATGTGAAAATGGAATGAATATTATTATTAATAAATTGATAAGATAATATTAAATATAAATTGTATTAAAGGAATAGAATTATAATAAATGAAAATGAAAATTATAAACAGAAGTAGGAAGACAAATATAAATAGAAGTTCAAATGTAAATAAATATATTAATTGCAAAAATAAATAAATATTTTCTTCCTACATAGCTATATTTAAAGTTAAAATTTTTAATCCCAAAAAATCTATATATTATTCAAAATTCAATATTTTCTAAAATACTTTATACTTTAAAAATAGCAAAAAAAATGTCAAATTAAACAAAATTTCATGAAAGTCGCCCCTGCAAAAATAAATAAATATATTTTTCGTACGCAGCAAAATTTATTTTAATCAAAACGATTTGGGTGAATGTGTACATTTACCGTAGACGAAGGCGAGCCAAGTCGAACCGAAGTAGCACAAACAGCGAGTATTGAAATCATCCGAACCTAAAAATTACTACGTGCGAGCCACATACGCTATTTTTTTCGCCATTGTTATGAAAAAGTGAAACAATTTTAAAGAAAAAAAATTTATTTTTTAATAGAATTTATATATATATGTGCCATTCCAGGAGTTTTTTAGCACTTTTCGGAGTAACCTTTCCAAATTAAATGAAACATTTTTTTAATAATATTTATTAATATAAAGGTCCAAAAAAATCACTTTTTAAGTAAAAACAATTGTTTATTTAAAAAATACAACAATAAATAATGCAAAAAATTCACTTTTTTCCTGCAACTCCAAATAAATTGGTTTAAAGATCAAAATTTTCCTTATCTTTCAAGCTTTAATACCGCACAAGAAACATTGAGTCCGGGAAAATATTCAACTCACAATTTTTTAAACAATGTTTGTTTACTTTTTTGTATTTTATTTACTGTGAAACGTCTGCTAAAGCTGCGCGCGACGTTTGGAAGTTGTCGCTTTCCTTATTGAGCAGAAGCTCATTACACTAGCGTAGTAGAAAGCATGTTGTGCGAAAAGTGAGGTTATGTTGTCATTAAATGAAACGTAAAAATTTCTGGTTATCACATTGAATGGTTTTTAATTATCTACTTTGCAGTAAAAAATCATAAAAAACATTTTTGAAGGATGAAAAACCTCACTTTCCACACAACATGTTTTTTACTACACTAGTGTAATGAGCTTCTGCTCAATAAGGAAAGCGACAACTTCCAAACGTCGCGCGCAGCTTTAGCAGACGTTTCACAGTAAATAAAATACAAAAAAGTAAACAAACATTGTTTAAAAAATTGTGTGTTGAATATTTTCTCGGACTCAATGTTTCTTGTGCGGTATTAAAGCTTGAAAAATAAGGAAAATTTTGATCTTTAAACCAATTTATTTGGAGTTGCAGGAAAAAAGTGAATTTTTTGCATTATTTATTGTTGTATTTTTTAAATAAACAATTGTTTTTACTTAAAAAGTGATTTTTTTGGACCTTTATATTAATAAATATTATTAAAAAAATGTTTCATTTAATTTGGAAAGGTTACTCCGAAAAGTGCTAAAAAACTCCTGGAATGGCACATATATATATAAATTCTATTAAAAAATAAATTTTTTTTCTTTAAAATTGTTTCACTTTTTCATAACAATGGCGAAAAAAATAGCGTATGTGGCTCGCACGTAGTAATTTTTAGGTTCGGATGATTTCAATACTCGCTGTTTGTGCTACTTCGGTTCGACTTGGCTCGCCTTCGTCTCACCTACGTCGCACTAACGACAGCTCGTACTGAAAATTACATCCCCACCTAAAAAGTACTACTTTACGTGCTTGCCACATAATATACTATTCTTCTTATTCTTAGAAATTATAATAGAATTATAAAAAAATGAATTGAAATATTTTAAAATCGTTTAAAAATAGTATAATTTTCATAAAAATCTTTGAATCTGAATTTTATTAAATGGATTAATTAATTTAATTTCTAATTCTGAATCTATATATATTAAATATACAATTAAAAAAATAATAATTTCTTTTAACGCTCAACAAAAACTGTACTTTATCTTTTAACAATCTTTTACTCACTTGAATTCTGGCTTCGTTCAATTTCGTGCTCCTCGCTAATTCCTCTCTGCAGTATATATCCGGGTAATGGGATTTCGCAAACGCCGATTCCAATTCCGCTAGCTGCTCCTACGAAACAATTCGAAACAGCACTAAAATACCCGTCTGGTAATGGTCAAGGGAAAATACAGTAATACTCGAATAACATCCTCGACTAGGCTAATGAAATATCCAGAACAAACGATTCATTGAGGAGAAATAAAATACGATATTACTTTCAAAATTATTTAAGAATATTATTTCGTAATTTTTGTTTCAAAAATGGGATAATATGATTATTTTGTTTTCCCTTCTATTTCAATTAGTTCTTGTTGTTTTTCTTTTTTGTTTTTCGTACACAATTATTTCAATAGAAAATTTTACATTGCCATATAACAAGAATACACTCTCATTGTAAATGTAAAATTTTTCAAATTGATTTTTCATTCTTTTCCGATTATGGATATTCGCAAATCAAACATGTTTTCTGTTTCATATATCGTTAATGATGATAATATTGTTCTGTCATATAAACAAATAATGGAAAGAAAAATTTTAAATTCTACTATTTATATGGAAAAATTCATTCATTCACGTTTTAACGTTATAACTATAAAAAATTAATAAATTTAATAATAATAAAATCATAATAAATTGTAATAAATAATAATCTTTTTTTAAACCATTTTCCTTTTGCGCTGAAAAAATCCTATCTTAAAAACGAGACGTGTAATTGCCTAACTTCAAGTGTAGACACCTATCCTTATTGGTAGAATTCAAAATTGTGAGTTGTGATTGGTTAAAACTGACGACATACTTTCATCAGATACTTGCAACTAACTTCAAGTGTAGACACCTTTCTTTATTGGTTATTTTGGAGACGACTGCTTTTCCCCGAAAGGACAAAATGTCGAATGGACAAAACGTCGAATAGCAAAACGTCGAGTGGACAAAATATCGAAAAGCCAAACTGTCGAATGGACAAAATGTCGAAAAGTCAAGACGTCGCATAGTCAAAACGTCGAAAGGTCAAAATGTCGAAAAGCCAAGACGTCGAACAGACAAAATGTCAAAGAGCCAAAATTTGAACAGACAAAATATAGAATTGCCAAAATGTCGAATAGTCAAGAAGTCTAATGATTGAAACGTCGAATAGCCAAAACGTCGAACGGACAAAATGTCAAATAGCCAAAACATCGAACGGACAAAATATCGAATCGCCAAGACGTCGAACGGACAAAACGTCGAATAGCCAAAATGTCGAAAAGTCAAAACTGCGAATGGACTAAATGTCGAAAAGTCAAGACGTCAAATGGTCAAAATGTCGAATGGACAAAATATCGAGACGTTATTTTGCTCTGAGTTTCCCTTCTATATAATGCACACGAGTTTAACTGTTTAAAATTAAAAGTTTGTATTATTATTATTATTATTATACTATAATAATTACTTTACTACTATTATTATTATTATTATTATTATTATTATTATTATTATTATTATTATTATTATTATTATTATTATAAAAAATGTAAGAAAACATTAAAAACAATACAACTGGCGATATCTATCGAGTGTTAAACGCAACACAAACTGGTGCATTATATAGAAGGGAAACTCAGAGCAAAATAACGTCTCGATATTTTGTCCATTCGACATTTTGACCATTTGACGTCTTGACTTTTCGACATTTAGTCCATTCGCAGTTTTGACTTTTCGACGTCTTGGCTTTTCGACATTTTGGCTATTCGACGTTTTGTCCGTTCGACGTCTTGGCGATTCGATATTTTGTCCGTTCGATGTTTTGGCTATTTGACATTTTGTCCGTTCGACGTTTGACTTTTCGACATTTTGTCCGTTCGACGTCTTGGCTATTCGACGTTTCAATCATTCGACTTCTTGACTATTCGACATTTTGATAATTCGACATTTTGGCAATTCTATATTTTGTCTGTTCAAATTTTGGCTCTTTGACATTTTGTCTGTTCGACGTCTTGGCTTTTCGACATTTTGACCTTTCGACGTTTTGACTATGCGACGTCTTGACTTTTCGACAGTTTGGCTTTTCGATATTTTGTCCATTCGACGTTTTGTCTATTCGACATTTTGTCCTTTCGGGGAAAAGCAGTCGTCTCGTTATTTTGCACATTCTTCTTAATTTTGATTGGTTAATTTTTTTTAATTGAAAAATAAAATTTAATATTTAAATATTTTCTTTAAGGTGTACTTTCACCATTGTTTTTTCATATAATTTTGATTCAATTATAGTTTCCAGGTTATATAATAACGAAAGATAAAAAGAAATTAATTTATACAACATATGCATAAATTATATTTTTTAAGGTCATTTGTATTTAAATAAAATTATTTTTAATTGAAACATTTGTAGTAATAAAGGTGCATAAATAGAATAAACATGACAGAGGGCATGAGCTTATGCATTAATTGATGACAGTAGGCACATGATAGCACTATTGAAAAATTTGTGTCAGTTTGTTATTCATTGTGAGTGATTACAGTGTTTTCAGTATTCATGATAATTTTTTTTGTGAGAAAAAATTGAGAGTGTTAGTTTGTAATTAATTATAGTGACTTCAGTATACATAATAATTTTTTTGTGAGAAAAAAATTGAGTAATAATTTGTAACTAATTGTCAGTGATTACAGTGATTTAACTATTAAAAATAATTTTTTGTATTTTTACAGTGATTTCAATTTTTGTGTTAAAGAAGTTATGAACTGGGCAAGAAAAATGTATTGTGTATTATATTCTTTTTCTTTGTTATTGTCATATTTAATTGAACTTATCTATTTACTAATTTGATAAGCAAACTTTTGAGATGTCTGACTTGATCTGTGCAAAGATGTATTTAATCATGGTCAATTATATGTTGCATTTTCACGAATTTGGTCTTGGAAATCTCTCAAATTTTTTTTGAAAGTCAACAAAGAAAATATTGTTAAAAATTATGTATATATACAAAATTATAGGGGAAAGGGCCCGTAGATGGACATTTGATATAAAATTTTCGTATAAGTATATATATCGCCTCATAATTTTTTTTTCTAATTTAGTTTGTTTAGATGAAGCTTTTTATATAAACACGGATCGGAAAGAATTATTTTTCTTCCTGTAACATATATCACGTGAATTTTTCGTTTTAAAAAGTTTTGTAACAGTTTTTATTTCAGTCGGTAAAATTATCTATATTTTTGATTTCGAATAGGTGCATATCGTAATAACCTCATTCAATTATCGTATAATAATATTCTAAAATGATTCGGTTGACACTGTGTTTGTAGATAATTTTTATTTGCACCAAAAAAAATAGAGTCATTGTACCTATAAAATGGACAGTCTGGTGGCCCTAAGATGCACCTCACACCTTAATTTTATTTATTTTTAATGTTACAGTTTCTTAATAATGCATCTTGGTGCCACTTTTTTCAAAATCAAAACTATGTCCATCTTGGGGCCCTCTCCCCTACATTTATGATTTAAAATTAATAAATAAATGTTATGATTCGTTCAAAATTTTTATGTTATTAAATTACAAAAAATTAACACGCGCGCACAAGCGCGGTCTCGTTATAAGTAAAAGACTCCAGGAAATGTGTTTGGCTAAAATTCATTTATCAAATTGTAAAAACAAATGTTACTAAAGCTTTAAATGAAAAAATCTCCAAACTGGTCGACTTTTATTTACTTTAAAAATAAAAAATTTTAATTCAAAAATTTCAATCATAATTCAATATTCTATATATATATATATATATATATATTTATAATTTTTATTTACAAATTTATGCAACTTTTTATGTATTTATATATCTGGTTTTACGTTATATTTTCCCAAGATTTATTTTATTACAAAAATTAAATTAATTAATTAGATAATTTTTAATTGCACTTAGGTAAATCAACCCTTTATTAATAAATCTTATAGTGATAATTATTTAAGAGTAAAAAGAAGAAGAATAAAACGAACCTGGGTAAAAGTGGTTCTATGCCGCCGTCGAGCGGGGGTCGGACAACTTGCGGTGGTTGGTGTGTGACCAATGTGTGGGCTTGAGGCGCAGGGTTCCGGTTTTAATTTTTTGAAGGCTCCTTCGATTCCTGAAACCAATAAAAGCTCCACTCAATGTTTCTATAAACAAGATTTTAAATTAAAATTGCTCAAACAAAAATATATATTATATCATTAAAAAAAAAAAAAAAAATTATATAATGAAATCATCAAAATATTTTTGTTAACTTAACAAATTTTTAATACTTCAACTGAAACTTAAAAACACAGTTAATTTATAAACATTTTTAAAAAAATACCATTTTTGGATTTAATTTTTTTTCCAATTTGGTAAAAATAAGGTAGGTCCGATCGCAGAAAAACAATTTTTTCAATATTTTCGTAATTTAAAAAAAATTTTCGAAATTTTGAATTTTTTTTTTTAGAAAAATAATACTAGAATAATAATAGTAAAAATTATCAAAATTCTGAAATTTTTAAAATATTTATAAAAAAAAATTTGAAAAAAAATTCTAACAAATTCAACGATATATATGCTGGAATGGAGGAATCGTCAGTGAACATTTTTTTTTTTTTTCAGCGAATTGAGATAATTGAATTTTTTTTAAATTATTAATCTCCAAGAATACGATGGGGACTAAAGAATAATAATTATAGGATTCCCATTTGGGAATCGTACCGGGGAGTCATATAGACTGTACCTCACCCAGCTTTATGAACGGAGTAAGCGACGAGGTAACCGTATAGCCAGCGAAGTCCCTCGCACTATGCTAACTTGGTTAGAGCGTTAATGACCTAATCATGTTACATGCTGATTCAATGTTCAAGGATGAATGCTGTCCACTTTACATACCTTGCCCCATTACCTAGTGAACGAGAGGAAACTCGGTCAAGTTCGTTCAAGAAAATCAAGCGACAGATATAAACTTATCAGCCACACCTCCGCGTGAGAAGACGCGCGTCCTTTTCAATAATTCCTTATATATGAGGAAAAATTCTGAAGTGATCCAAATCAAAAAAAAAATTTCTTAGATCGGGCTGCAATTTGCATAACATTTAGTACTATGGGTTAGTCATAAATTATTATTAATTTTTATCAAAAGCTGTAGAGGGGGGAGATGATTCAAATTTTGGTGGAATATAAACAGTGGATTTTTTGAAAAATCATAACTATTGTATAAAAGGATGAAAAAAATTTTTACCTATATAATTTCGAAAGGTTTTTTCCTGCTCTTTCGAATGGTGCAAAATGTTTTTTTAAAAATTCAAAATTTACCTCTTTTTTGAAAATCAAAAATATTTTTGACTTTTTTTTTAATAAAGGACATTTTTTATTTCTTTTTTTTACCCTTTAAAATGAAGCTTAAAATGTATGCTTTTAATAACAAATTAAACAAAATGTCTTTTTTTTATTTTCGAAATATTAACATTAATTAATTAATATCACTAAAAAAACGATATTTTTTTAAATTTGTTTATTAAAAACATAGTTACATTTTAAGCTTCATTCTAAGAGGTTAAAAAAATGTCCTTTATTAAAAAAAAAGACAAAAATATTTTTGATTTTCAAAAAAATGAGTAAATTTTAAATTTTTTTAAAAATTAAAATAAAAAATTTATTAGGGGCAGTTGGGGTAAATAGAAACAAGGGGTAAATCGAAACAGTAGTTATTTCAGTTAAATAAAAAATTTTAAAAATAAATACGGCCTCAAACCTTGTTGGGGGTGATCTAAGGTTCAAGATTTGAGGCCGTATTTATTTTTAAAATTTTTTATTTAGCTGATATAACTACTGTTTCGATTTACCCCAACTGACCCTATAGAATTTTGAACTTTGAATTTCAAAATCTGTACATAAAAAATCATTTGAAAATTAGTCAAAATTATGAGATTTAGAAATTAATTTTTTAGTAAAATTGTATTAGAAATGTATACTTTTGGAAATATTTATTTATGAAATTCTAAAATTCAAAAAAACTATAGAAAACCCTTTTTTATATTCGCAAATTAACACACATAAAAACCCATAAACGGAAATTAAAAATATATTCTTGACGCCTTTTTAAGAATATTTTATACTTAAATTTAGTATTTATATTCTTATTTTAAGAATAATATTTACTAAATTTAAATATAAAATATTCTTAAATATGCGCCAAAAATATATTCTTAATTTCACTTTACGATTCTTTCAGTGCATTCAAAAAATTTATATTTTCTTGATTTAAACATATTTTCTCTTATAGGGCTTATTGGGTCGAAATAAATGATTGAAATAATTGGAAAGGTGCATGAAAAAAAAATGCCATTTAAAATCTGTTTAACATCTTTTTCCATACAATAGATGTACGGAAAATTTGGAGTAATTTGAAGATACTGAAAAGGACATATACATATTATAAGGAACACCTGGACAAAAATGGATGAAAATAATTAGAGATGCGATGATTTTAACTAAAGTTTGGACATTATTAAGCCTTTTGACGTTTAGCGTAAGCTTCAGCTGTCATTTGACCACTCTGGACCACTCGCCAGCATCTGTCGAGGATTACAGTCATTAGAGATTTTGTCACTTTTTTTCATGTCACTAAATTGAGAATTTTGTATTGGGAAATAATTTTCTTCTATATGAGGCAAAATTCCTGAAATGTCCGAACAAAAAATTAAAAGTTCTCGAATTTAATCCATACTTTTCTAAAATGTTGTTATTGTTGGTGAAAGTCTAAAAATCAATTATTATTGAATTTAATAAAATAGTTTTTGAATTACAACGTTTTTAATTTTTGACTTTTGAAAAAAAAAATTTTTTTCAATGTACAATATTTATAAGAAGAATGCATAAAAGTTAACATATATATAATGATTTTTGAAGCTTTTTTGACGAGCTACACGCTGTTAATAAAATTTTTTTTTTTTAAATAACATTTGACCTTGAAATTCAAGGTCAAAATGTTAATTTATGTTTATCTCAAAATCGGATTTTTTAAAATTATTTTTAACTATCTCAATGGAAAGCTTGACTAATTTCCTACAAAACATGTAATTTTCAGAGTGAGATCTTTTAAAGTTTTTGAGATATTAATTACTTAATTAATTAATGTTTATAACAAATGAAATATTTTACAAACGAATAAAGTTACCGTAATTCTGAAGTTAGTAATTGAAAGTTAACGTAATTCCGCATCCAACGAGCCCTATATGAAGTATTTTGGATAAGTAGATTGTTAATAAACAATTAGTTAACATTGCAATTGTTTATTAACAATCTACTTATCCAAAATGCTTCATATAGGGCTCGTTGGATGCGGAATTAGCTTAACTTTCAATTGGTTAGTTTAGATTTACAATAACTTTATTTGTTTGTAAGATATTTCATTTTTTATTGTTATTTAACTAAAATTGAACAAAAATACTTCATATAGGGCTTTTGGATGCTTGTTGTTAGTAAAAAATAAAATATTTTACAAACAAATAAAGTTATGGTAATGCTGAACTTACGAATTGAAAGTTAAGGTAATTCCGCATCCAACGAGCCCTATATGAAGTATTTTGGATGAGTAGATTGTTAATAAACAATTGCAATGTTAACTAATTGTTTATTAACAATCTACTTATCCAAAATACTTCATATAGGGCTCGTTGGATGCGGAATTACGTTAACTTTCAATTACTAACTTCAGAATTACTGTAACTTTATTCGTTTGTAAAATATTTCATTTGTTATAAACATTAATTAATTAATTAATTAATAACTCAAAAACTTTAAAAGATCCCACTCTGAAAATTACATGTTTTGTAGGAAATTAGTCAAGCTTTCCATTGAGATAGTTAAAAATAATTTTAAAAAATCCGATTTTGAGATAAACGTAAATTAACATTTTGACCTTGAATTTCAAGGTCAAATGTTATTTAAAAAAAAAAAATTTTATTAACAGCGTGTAGCTCGTCAAAAAAGCTTCAAAAATCATTATATATATGTTAACTTTTATGCATTCTACTTATAAATATTGTACATTGAAAATTTTTTTTTTTTTCAAAAGTCAAAAATTAAAAACGTTGTAATTCAAAAACTATTTTATTAAATTCAATAATAATTGATTTTTAGACTTTCACCAACAATAACAACATTTTAGAAAAGTATGGATTAAATTCGAGAACTTTTAATTTTTTGTTCGGACATTTCAGGAATTTTGCCTCATATACATTTATATCCCTATTAAAATATATCGTAGACATTCAACAAACAAAAACGATAGAAAAATTAAACCAAAAAAAAAGGTGCCTAATTCATAAAAAATGTAAACGTTGAAAAACAAATTATCTAAATCTCAATGCAAGAAAAATAATTTGATCACAATCCCAAAAAAAAAAAACAAAAAAAAAACAAAAAAAAGAACAGAAAAACAAAAAATAAATATTTAAAAAATAAAAATACAATGTTTAAGAATAAAATGCATAGGAAATATTCTTAAATATGCGTTAAGATATTCTTAAAAAAAATTCCTTTTTTTTGAATATCAAAACAAAAATTTGTTTCTAAAATTAACATAATATAACAAATTATAAAATAATAAAAATGAATTTAGAAAAATATATTTCGAGACTGATCCATTCTTTTCAAGGTCAGGGATTTAAAAAAAAAAAAAAAAAAAAAAGATGAAGAATGAATCAAAGTTTTTCACGTTAGAGTGCAATTGTAATGCAAATGAAAAATTGTAACATTGCTCTGCGATGGTACACCAGAGGGAAAAAGGTATGAAGTGGAAATAAAGAAAAAGTGAGGGAGAGAGAAAAAAAAAAAGTTGCACCTAGCGTTTGGTTGAGAGAAGGGATGAGAAATTAATGTAGTTAACTCTACAAGTTCAGTGAGGTATTAAAAGTACCTTGTCGATGGGCTTTTCCCACCCACTATTTTCTTGCCTCCACGTTAATAAACGTGCGCGTAATTTCCTCTCTCAGAACGGCGGAAGACAGAAGATTCGTCTTATAATTTTCCCAGTCGGGTGGAAAAAAAAAAAAAAAAAAAAAAAAATCTCGAGGAAAAGTATAGCGACAGAAATAACGTTGATGTCGCACGGCGTACTCAAGA